ACAATACATAAGTAGTCAGCAGGATTACAAAGTAATTTTGAAATATTTGATCAGTATTGATAAATATTTTTAGATTAAACTAACTATTTAGGAACACAGAATAAAATAAAATATGGCAGGCTCCAAAGTAACAGTGAAGACTGCAAATGTTCATACGGTCAATCATCTTAAAAGAGCTTTCAAGTTGGGTAGACTACATTTTAAAATAATACTCTTGCTACTCTCCAGTAGCAGAACATACAGAGACCAGGTGTTTACATCTCCATTCAATTTAAAATGCCTATGCAGCTTTCTTACTGTAATATACAGTAGCTATCACTTCCTTTCTGTTGGATTTTGGTTTTGTTTTTTCAAGACTAATACATTAACAACAGAAGTGACTTCAGCTCTCTTCCCTCACTAAAGCATGGTTCAGTCTGAAGACTGATCTACAGGTTGCCACCGTGACTATTAACAGAAACTGAACACCACAAAGAGCATCAATAAGTGGAGTCATAGAAGTCTGAAGACTGCTAGAGCTTTCTACTGTAAACCAAGGTAATCAGAAGTATTACCCTGCAGATAGCCCTGTCATATTAGTTAATACAATGAGTTAAAATAGTGTAACAATTTACCATGTGATTTTAAATATTATCACATTAATTCACCCTGAGAATACAGAGGAAGCCTTTAAAACAAGATACTCCAATGTTTTCTTTTTCACCTTTGCATTTACTTTCTTCTTTTGTCAGCCCTTCAAGGGCAGAAATATTTGAATTTAAAGTGTGACACGGATATCCTTCTGTGAATGAAATTCATGCCACCGTCAGATATTGGTGATAAAAAAGCCCAAAAAGGCTTGTAGAAAATAGGCAAGCAGCAATCCACCATGTCAAAAATGACAAAAGTCCTCGAAACAGGAGAGGAGTAAAAATGTTTTTTAAGCTGTTCAGTGCCACTGTTATCTGTGTAACAGTTACCTTCATTTTCCCATCAGTGGGTGGTAAATCAGAGTAAAGAGAGTTGGAGGGTAGACTGTTGTCCACTGGCAAGGTAGAGATAGTTTCGGGATAAATCCCCCAGGAATGATTACCTAGAAGATTCAAGACACAAAATTTGAAGTGCAAATGATTCAAAAGATTCTTGCAAAAATCCAGAAGCTTTAAATTAGTAACCCATATTTGAAATTAAAAATACAAAGTTCAGTGGTATAATAAATCATTTTATATTGAAAATAAAAGTTTTACAATTTAAGAATACAATAATATAACCAAAGTATAAAATCTACTCTCATCAGTAAAGGTATATAAAAAGTAAAAAATCTGGTAGATTTTTAATTAATTATAGTAAAATCAGGAAATTTAATAATTTTTTTCCTTGCATAAGATATGAATCAACTACTTTTACTGGAGTGACAGGGACAGATTCAATAACTTCTTAGAAATCTTTTCTATCTCTACAATATCAGAACAAATTTCTTTCTTAGAAACTATCCACGATTTCAATGTTGAGACGCTATTAATAGCTTTTTGAACTCTTTCATTATATACTTTCCTAACCTGCATAGGATATGAGTCACATAATTTATAACTGAGCTACCTATCCCCTTTATGGTCCATGGATTCCTAAAGGACATTTATATCTATCATCAGCTCTATCAACTAAGCCTACTCAGATAATACTTTTAGTTTCTTGGGGTTTCTAAAACCCCCACAATGGCAGCAGGCTGCCTAAATCTAAGGAAAGAGGAAATAATAAAGGTAACAATGGATAGTTCTTGAATACCGCACAGGGAAGGATTTGGTAGCTTAGAAATGACTTCTAGCAGAACTTTCTAGTTTCACTGAATATTCTTTGTCTTTTCAACAGAAGCTATCTAATCAAACTCACTAGAAAATTTTGTCATTTATCAAGGTTTATAAATATCTTGCAATAATTAAAATGTTAGTAATCAAGAAATCGCTAAAATACCCTCTCTTATAACACAGAAACAACTGATCAACAGTGCTTACCCATATTACTTGATAAATCTGGGAATTAACCTTTAATGAACAATTCTTTTTTTAAAAAAATATTTTTATTCATTATTTTTATTTTTTTACGTGTATGCACGTATTGCCTACATGTAGATAAGTGTACCCATGTTGTGCAATGCCCGCGGAGGACAGAAGAAGCGGTTGGATCCCCTGGAACTGGAGTTACGGACAGTTGTTAGCTGCCATGTGGGTCCTGGGATTCAAACCCTGGGATTCGAACCCAGGTCTTCTGCAAGAACAGCCAGTGTTCTTAACCACTGAGCCATTTCTCCAGCCCCTGAACAACTCTTATAAGCATAAAATAATAAAACCCTATGAACCTAGGCTTTCAAAGTCAAAAGGATGAACAACTTCTACAGCTAAAATGTTCTCATGCTTCCTCCTACAACTATTAGAAGACAACAACAATTTTATGAGGCCTATTTCCATACAAATAACAGAAAGTATTATTAACTATAGGTAGAAAGCAAAAGACATTTCCCAGTTTCCATGTTGTGCCTACCTAGTGTTTTCAAAAGCAGAGTTGTGTGAAGCAGCATTATCAGAGGTGCCACATATTGCAGGGCAATGACACAAAGGTAATAAAAGACTCGAGCCACCTGCAATCAACAACATTCTTAAGTATCTAATACAGCTGACATGTTATAAGTGACTGAACTTTTATATAATTACCAAACTGAAATGCTTAAGAGATAAATAATCCTTTCGTGAGAAGAAAGCTAAATATTAAGCTTACATTTCACTATACACGTGCCCTATCTCCAAAAAGATTCAACCTAAAGAGAAGCTTTTAAAATTTGAAACTATTACAAAAAAATTCTTTGAACTAGTTCAAAGATAAAATGAAATATTAAAATTTCTATAGACAGCCAAGTTTTAGCATCAAAGTAAGTAACAATGGCAGGCAGGTATATATGAACTTAACCCCCTCATTAAATAAAACTTTTACATTTTCATTCTACAAGAGCATATTTGTGATCAACTTATGAATAGAATGAAAATATACACAATATAAAACAAAAAGCTTTGTCAACCTGATTGATGCCTCTGACTTCTGAGTATAATAAAGAATTAAAAAAAAAGGGGTCCATATGCTAAATCTAAAAAAAATAAAAAATAAAAAAATCATACTATTTGTCCACTATAATGGTGATGGATTACTAGTATCCTTTAAAATCTCCATTAAGTCCTTTCATGATGACATGGAGTAATTTCAAAAGGAATAAACTGAGTCACTGAATTCCTACCTTTCTAGTTATGAGGTCTAGACATGTTGTAATGCCTTTCCAATATTTAGAGAGGTTCCCACTTAACAGCAGTGGGCACACCACAGCTTTGTAGCACCCAACTGGATGACACTTAAAACACTTAAGATGACAACTGAGGCTTTTGTTTTTGTTTTTCTTTGGTTCTTTTTTTATTTTTGTTTTTTTGTCTTTTTGAGACAGGGTCTCCCTGTAGTCCCAGCTAACCTGAACTCACTATGTAGACCAGACTGGCCTTGAACTCACAAGGATCTGCCTCCCTCTGCCTCCAGAGTACTGGGATTAAAGGCATGTGCCACCATGCCTGGCTTGTTTTGTTCTTTGAGACAGAATCTTCCTATGTAGCCCTGGCTAGCCTACAATTCACAGAGATCTGCCTGGCTCTGCCTCCCATATGCTGGGATTAAAGGTGTTGTATCACCACGCCCAGCTCTAAGACCCTTTCTTAGTATTAAAATCAGATAAACATCTCTGGTAGCTTAAAAGGCTTCTACTTTTTGCATTACTACGGAATGGCATATTTCAATTAAAGGAAACCAAACTATCTCACAAAATGTTTTTTGCCATATTTTTTCATTTTGACTATGTTTTAAAACTTACCATTTTCTGTAGCTCAACTGTACTTATCCGGCCCGCTTCTTTCTTCATCTGATCCACACATTTCTGTGCCAAGTTTAAATATGCTTGCAGGTGACTACGCATCAAGGCCAACCGCAAAACACATAGCAGGATTATTAACCAGAGTCGCAGAGTATCAAATGTAGCTTCTGTCATTCTATAGATCAAAAGTTGATATGACACTCTCAGAGACCACAATACATTAGCAGAGTAGTTACGTTATTGTTCACCATGCAGAAGACAGGAAATCTACACTTAAGAGTTGGAGATCAGACACAAAAGAATCCCACTCTGTAGACAGCCTAACAGTTTTACCTGCTTAAAAGAATTAAGCATACAAATGCACGATAAAGTAACAAATATCTAAAAGAAAAATACAGAGTAATTCTTGGGGTCCTTTTTCTACTTACCCACATCTATGGAAAGAAAGAAAAGCTGTTACATAGGCAATGAGGCTGGGTGCCTTAGAAATGAGAGGTCGCTAAGGGATCAAAGATAATCACATGTAGAACTACTAATCAAGTCAATGGCTCACCTATAATTGGCTATAGTTTTGCCTGTTGATATACTGATTTGGTTGGGGGCATTTCACACTACTGTATTTCTAATTATGACCACTGGGGGAATATTTCTCATATATTACTGCTATGTGCTAAGCTGGCTCATTTTTAAGCAATGCCTCAACATTAAAGATTCTAGTATATGTCTATAACTCCAGTCTGTGGGGGTAGAAAGCAGAGATGAGCAGATCCTTGAAGCTCACTGGCCACCCAGTCTAGCCAAATCAATGAATTTCAGTGACAGACTCCACCTAAAGAAAATAAAGGACGTGTGTATGATCAAGGAGAGATAGCCAACGCTGACTTTGGGCCTCCACATGCATGCACACGTGTGTGCACCTGCACATACTTGCATACACACACACTTTTCCCCTTTGTGTTTCCTTTACATACATTTATTATTCTACCATTATAATCTTAAGAGTTTCAGGAAGTCTCTTCTTAGTTTTAGCTACTACCTGGCAAATCAGACTATACATTTTAAGTAATGTTAAATTTCTGATATGTGCTAAAGTATAGACCAGATACCAAGCCTGGTTTAGTTAACAGCCTTCCAATTACTTACAGGTAGTCCTTCAAAAACCACATTCCTTAAAAAGCAACATCAATAACAAAACACCTTAGACCTTAAAAGGACATCAGAAAATCTATTTTCATACTAAAATATTTTAAGATTGCCCTAATAGTCTGATTTCTGAAAAGATGCCATAAGGGTACATGCTGCCATGCCCAGATTTTAATATAGCTTTTGGAGACCTGATTTCAGTGATTGTACAACAATCACTATATCAGGTGAGCCATCTCCCCAGCCTGAAAAGATTTTTCTAAAAAATACCCTCACAATACTTTTCCTCTAAATAAGTCTCATTATCACCTAGTTCCTTTGTCCAACAGCAAGCACCTAGAGAAGGAACTAAAGACCAACAGAAGGAACAAACTGCTTAGGAACATTATGCTATTGAATAGGCAAATAAAGAGAAAAGGCAGGGAAGACATGAAAGTATCATCGATCATGTTTTAAATTTTATGAAATGGAGGTCAAAAATGAAGATGGGACAAAGGCTTGATAATGTAGTCTTTTGTTTCCTTTTACAAGGTTATACATGCACATGTATGTAAACTACAATGAAAGCACTCTTAGCTGGAGAAGATAAAAACAGTATTTTAACAATAATTTTCCATATAATAAAGTGAGATAAATGAGTCAGTCATGTAAAGTAATATGCATAATATGCAAGGCCATCTGCAGCACTGAAGCTTTCCAGGAGACCTGTCCAGAAAACTAATCCTTGGAGTATGTAACAAGGGCTGACTGGCAGTATGGTGCTGGGGAGATAGCTCAGCCATTAAGAGTGCTGGCTGCTCTTGCAGAGGACCTGGGTTTGAATCCCAGCACCCACATGGCAGCTAACAATCATCCATAACTCCAGTTCCAGGCGATCTGATGCCCTCTTCTGACTTCCATGGACACTGCATGACATGGGTGCACTTAACACTCATACATATAAAATAAAAATAATAAATATGAAGGAAAAAAAAAATAACTGACTGGGAGCACAGTGTAATAATGGCTACTTCACAGGCTAGAGAAACAAATGTGAAGCCACTAGAACAAAGCAGAAAAGGCCTAACTTGTCTCTTAGGTTCAGGGTTTGCTGAAACAGAAATAGCTTCTAATTCATACTAGGAGAACACAAAAGTCTGATAATTTGATCAGATGGGGTATCTCCAGAAGGAACCTGAGCTGGAGTAGTTAAGGAACAGGCAGAAGCAGCCAAGCCTGGGGGCTCACACTAATAATCCCAGCCATGATACAAAGAAGGAGGATCATCTTGAGTTTGAGGCTAGCCTAGGGGACACAGGAGTCTCAGGGAAGCCTGAGCTTCAGTATAAGAGCACTGGATGCTCTTGCAGAGGACCCAGATTTGAATCCAGAATACACAGGGCAGTTTACAACTGTTCATACCTCCAGTTCGAGGGGAACCCGACACTCTCTTCTGACCTCTGCAAGCATTACATGACACAGGTCATACACTGCCTACATACATGCAGGCAATATGCTCATATACATAAAATAAAATTAATAAGTATTTTTAAAAAATATAAAAAAGAAAGATGAGTGTGGTGGCACACACCTTTAATCCCAGCACTCAGAAGACAGGACTATCTCTGTGAGCTGAAGAAAAGCCTGGTCTAGGTCTACATAGTGAGGGCTATACAATGAGACACTGTCTTAAAAGTAAATGATAAAAAAGAGAGAACAGAAAGTAACTCTCACCAAATTCTGAGTGTGCAGTGGTCCATATGTCACTGTTTGGTTTACTTTCAATGTTATAAGCATGTAAGAATGTTTTTAGCCATAGTTCATTTTCTCATTACTGTACTGGAATCCATGGATGAATTAAGCACATTTCCAAACTGAATAGCATCATAATCATTTTGTTTCTGACTACAAACATTTACAGAGAATAATTTATTTGGGGGACAGAAAAACCTATTATTTGCTTTTTACTTCACTCTAGCCCCACTCTTTGACTGATGGACAGTCATTCTTTCATAATCTACCACATAGACTTTGGATTGTAAGTAGAAATTTTAAATTAAAATTGCTAATTCACAATTACTGAAGAATGGAATGGAGCAGACTTAAAATTATAATCTTATTTGACTAGTCACAAAATAGTTCAGAAGCAAAGAAGGGACAACGGAAGAAAAAGCTATCGGGAAGAAGAGCCCAGGTTGTATATAAACAAAGTGGAAAATGAATTCTGGTACAGCTACCATTTTTTTCCCCTTTTCGGGGTGGAGGGAGAAACAGAAACATGTTTTATAATGTCCAAAATAGGAGAATAACTCTTAGCCAAAATATCTGACTTCCTAGCCTGCCATTTCATCTATAAAATAAGAACAGTAACCATAAAAAGAGAATGACTATACAAATGAATAGAAAATACCAAGTACCATCTATACCTAGCAATAACTGGAGCATGAAAAACATTGGTTCTTTATTCCCAATCTGACTTGAAATATGCCAAGTTAAAGTTACTATTAAAGTTTAGTTACATGTGGGAAAAATTATTACCTCTTCAGTGAATGCTTCCCTAATTTAACCAAAGTTTAAAAAAAAAGCAAAGCAAAGAAAAGAACTGTTATAGCCAACTGCTTCTATACTCCAAGACAAACAAACTTACAGAGAATCTAAAAGAAGTACATAAAATAAAAGACACAATGTGGAGTCAATGAGCAGTGAAGTTTTTCTGTTTTAATCTCATGAGACAAAGGAGTGAAATGAACATTCATTAAGCACTTCCAGCTGGTTCTCTCATTTAGCTCCAATGGTAACCTTGTGAGGTAGACACTAGTATCTTCATTTTCCAGATGGGGAAAGAGAGCCTTACTGTTGTTAAATGATCTGTCCCAACTGACAGTTTTGGCAAGGAGCAAAGCTTGAGTTTGAACCAGCTCTGTCTAAAACATTCCATTACTATGACGTGGTTCCACAAATATATATCTAACATATCAAGTAATTATCAATGCCTTTCAATAAACTGTTTCTGTATTTCTTTGAGATCTTCTGTTAAAATATAGTTTAGCCAGAGAACTAGTATTAATAATGCTAAGACATTACTTTTAATTTTCCCAGGTATGATGTAGAACAAGGTTCTCATTTTTAGAGATAAAAATTGCAGTACTTAGACATAAAAATATGCCTCTAATTTACTTGAAAAATATTTTATTTACAAAACAAGCATGAAGCAAAATATGAGAGTGGAGAAACTCCCATGCATAAAACAAATGAATACCCATGTTTGTTTGTACTGCTTTTCCTCCATGTGGTTCACACTACAACAATGACAAAAGCACTATACAAAGTATCTGAATAGGAACAATGACAAGACAAATGTCAGATGACAACTGGACATTAAGAGGAAATCCTTAGATGTATACAAAGTAGTATTAGTGTAGAGTAATAAACATTACCATTCATTTAAAATGATCAAAAAATGTTAAATGCTCTGCTGCTTCAACTTGATAAAGTTGAAGCTAGAAGTTTTCTTTTAGCATTCCCATTAATATTAAAAAATGCAGTACTTTATCATTAGAAAGTTAAATACTTGAGTGTTTTAAACAAGCAGCTTTGATTTATAATAAAACAAAATTAACCTTCAAAACTCAAAACTCATACTTACAGAGGGATACTTTCTTTACCCAACGGTGGGTTCATGATGTAGTCTTTGGTAATTGGCTTTACCCAGAGCAGAACCATAAATAAGGGTGCCAAGAAATTGATATGAAGTAATGTTCTAAAAATATGTAAGAAACAAACATAAAAATCCAGAAACAAAATACACCAATAAACTGTAACTCAGGCATTATATTTTTCATCATTTAGCACTGATTTGAGGTCTTGAGAAATGAGATTATGATCATTGTTTTTCAGATGCGAACATTTAGAGCCAGAAAGTTAAATGCCTTGCTTATGGCAATTTCATAGAGTCAGATCTACAACTAAAGCTGGTATTTATTCACTTTGACTCTTGGATGGATTTGGCAATTCCTTACTAAATGCATGATTCAATCAACAGGTACTTTAATGATTCCCTAATTTTATACAGTCAGTGAAGTGAATCCAACGGTAAATAAAAAAAGTGATCAGATGCTTTTCAGGGCAGTTGAAACAAAGCACTTGCTCATTATTTACAAAAAAAAAAAAGACAGTGATTAGCTGAGTCCGTGATACTAGAAGACAAATGGTAAACAAAACTTACTGCAGTAACTTGTAAAATAAAATAAATAAAAATAAAATTCAGGGACCTTTCAATATGTAATGACCATGCATAAATTTTAAATTATTTTTTAAAATCACAAATGATTCAAAATTTTTATTTCTTTTTGTACTACAAACACTGCTAAAATTAACTTCTTTACCCTATACAAATGAAGACAATTTACCTTTGTTTCTATTTTTCAGTTTTGTGGAACAGATCTTGCTATGCAGCCTAGCCTGGCCTTTACCTCATCATACAGCCTCAGCCTCACAAGGGCTAGGATTACAAACATCAGCTACCACACCCAGCCTTTACTCTTGCTATATACTTTATGCTACGAAGGGTTTAAGGACTGAGCCATAACTTCATTGTTATTTGGTATCTAAGTCTGTATCCTATGGAAAGAGACGGCTGATAAAAAAATTTTAGTTTAGAAAAATCAGTACCTGACAAGGAAAGGTGGTTACAAGCCCTAGCACTAAACAAGTAACAGTGCTCAGTCACAAGGTAAAGACTACACCACTCTTTGTGCCACTCAAGTTGCTCATGACAGACAGAACTAGCGTGCCCACTTATACCAGGGCAGAGTGCTATACTACAAGGGACTGTAATAAACTGAAAAGAAAAGAAAACCTCAAATCCCTAAAGGAAAACACTTAAAAGGAAGTCACATTTTACTGAAGACAGACACTAAGATATGCCTCTTCTTTCTCCAACCGTCACTAAATGCTTTATGTTTTTATAAAGTGATTCTTTCATTCCACAGCCTTGGTAAACCACCGAGTGTGGGAAGAAAGAGCAGTATTAGGTATGCAGTGTTGCTAGGGAACACTCTAGTATCAAGGAGCAGCCCACAGTGGTTTCAGTGGCTTGTGAAGGGCTCCCCTCCACACATCCTTTCAGCTTATTTAAATCATAACACTGGGGTTAGTGGACTGGAGTGTGTGTGTAGAGAGGAGGGGAGAACTAGATTTTGTCTTTAAGGAAATCATTAAGGAGATGGGTAGTGGGAGAACGGCAGGACATAGTCAAGAACATGCTGAGTAAAAGGGAAAGAAAGAGAGAATGTGTAATGGAAGGTAAGAATAAGTAAACCCACATATAAAACATGCAGAAAAATGGAAGCAAGGAGAAAAAAAAGTGAAAATTAAATTAAAAGAATATAGGTAAGAGAGAAGATTGTGAAAAGACAGGAGACTCAGCATCAATAAATACAGGGTTTAAAAGAACAGTAGTATTAGGAAATATCATGTAGAGAAACTTAATGCCTACAAATATGTGCATCAAAATGGAGTATTATCAAGTTGTACTTGCACTGTAGGTAAGACAAGAACTAGAACCTGGATGTGAACTAAAGTGGTATACATACAAGCCCACCTTTCTGCCAAGGTATCTACACATATGAATAAATAAATAAAATGAAATAAAAATATGCAGTAACTACAAAGAAAATAGCAAAGGGCTCTAAACCATAGATGAAGATTTAATATGACTGCTCCATTTAAGAATTAAAATAGAATTTAATGGTTAAAAGTAACCTTTGTTATAGGACATTGTACAGTATTTGCAATCTCAAAATAAAATAATGAATTATTTTTAAAGTCTAACAGGCAGAAGAACTACTTAAGGAAAACAAGTATTTCTTACAAATACAAACATTTAATTTGAAAATTTATGAATAAAATATTTTCACTAAAAGTTAACATATTTGAATAATCATGCACATTTAAATATTTAAAAATACAATTTACAAAGAAAGTTTCCATAGAGCCTCAGTTCAAATATGGATATTGAAATATAAATCTCTGAATTAACACCTTAGTATTTTGATTTTAATAGGCAGAAACAAATTTGGTAATTAATGGTGTATTTTTATCACAGGCTTAAAATTTAGAAGAGAAATTTTAAGAGAAACTGCTTATAGTTGAGAGGAAGTGGTACCAAGTAGTTATTAAACTGCTTATAGCTGAGAGGAAGTGGACATCAAATAGTTATTCATTTTCAATACAATAATTTATTATTTTGTCACAATAATATACCTTAATTAAGATGGAAAACATATATTTATCTGCATGTGCTTATGTACATTTTCCGCTTACTGTGTAATTTTTTCTGTTGTCAAATTCAGGGCATCCAGATGCATTTGAGCCAGCCGTAATCCAGGAAATGTCAAAAAAGCCCCAATGAGTGAACAGAAAATAGCCAGGAAAAATTTGAAAGTAAGTTTTGAAACAGGACCCCTAAAAATAAAGTTTTAAAAAAAGCTGGTAAGTTTTTAGTTAACCTTCTAAGGCCCTCCTTTCTTCTAATCAATTATTTTACAGATCATAAAAATATCAGTGAAATAATTAAGTATCCACAAAAATATTGATCTTATTCAATTATCTGTAACAGATTTTGGTGAGCTGTAAACTAAACCAAGTATCTCTTTAAGTTACACTCAATAATCGGAGCTACATATTCAACATAGAATTGACATGACTAAAATAAGTACAAATTTAGCTGTGAATCTGATGAAAGATTCTAATTTTGAACAGCTGTAAAAAAATAAAAAATCTGAGTTTAGCTGTTTCTAGAAGTAGCTAGCATTCCAGGGTTGGGAATTAGCTTAAGGTAAAGCACTTGTCTGTTAACACTCATGAGACCCTAGGTTTGACCCCAACAGTGTAAAAAGGGAGAATGGGAGGAAAAGTAGAAGTGATAGTCTAGCCAGGAGGAATGCTACTGATTAAAAACAACTAATCATTCATAGTAAAACTGTCTACTTAAGAAGAGAAATTTATGGGGGTTGGAGAGATGGCTCCACGGTTAAGAGCACTAGTTTTTCTTGCAAGAAGACCTAGGTTCGATTCCCAGCAGCTAACAATGGCCTGTAACTCCAGTTCCAAGGGATCCGATGCCCTCTTCTGATGTCCACAGGCATTGTATGACATCAGTGCATTTACACACATGCAGGCAATAAACACATACACATAAAATAAAATAAGTAAAATAATAAAAAAGAATGGAAATTTAAAAATTTTAAATAAGGCTTAACGTTTCAAAAACTTACTGCGATTCTAAACCTTGCTTTTCAAGAAACTGCATCGCACTGTCCGAAAAATTTGTAAACCCTGTAGAAAAGAAGACATTACTCTTACCATGCAGGTAAAACACAGAATCTTTCTTTGAAAAAAAAAAAAAAAAGATAGGAAACAAATCATCTTAAATTTTAGTGACTAGCTTTGTTCTTTAATATGTTAATTAGTATGCTCTAATGCAATAAAATTTGGTTATTAACAAGAACAGTTTTTGAAAACATCCCTTTGGTATTTGTACATTCCATGAGTGTGCATAAAATTTGCCTTAATTCTTTATGTTAGTACACTTTAGCATTACAGAAACTGATTTAACTCCAAGGAAAAAAAATGAGGTGGCAGTATTTTGTGGAAAAGTTTAATTAAAAACTTAGCTAAAAAAAAGACAAATGATGGGGCTGGAGAGATGGCTCAGCAGTTAAGAACACTGGCTGTTCTTGCAGAAGACCCGGGTTCGAGCCCAGCACCCACATGGCAGCTAACAACTGTCCATAACTCCAGTTCCAGGGGATCCAACAGCCTCTTCTGTCCTCCGTGGGCACTACAGGACACAGGTGCACTTACCTACAGGCAGGCAATACATGCATACACTTAGAATAAAAGTAATAAAAAAAATTAAAAAAACAAAACAAAACAAAATGAATATCTCACTTAAGATTAATAAAGATTAATCCTGGGCGTGGTGCCACACACCTTTAGTCCCAGCACTTGGGAGGCAGAGGCAGGCAGATCTCTGTGAGTTTGAGGACAACCTTGTCTACAGAGAGAGTTCTAGGCCAGCTGGGGCTAGAGGGAGACCCTGTCTCAAAAAGATCCACCCCTCAAAAAAGATTAATAAAAATTAATTAGAACAATAATAAACCTCAACTCTAACTGTAAACATCACATGCAAAAACTACTTAAATACTGTAGTAAAAATTACACTACACAAACCACAACTGGTTTTTGAAGCTGTTTAAAACTATTACCTGTTTCAAGTCCAAATTCCAGATAATTCTCTGTTACAATCAAAACTGCCATTGCTTTGACGAAGAAAAAAAACCCAAAGGTGACACAAACTGATCTTTCACCACCATCTTCTACTTTAAAATAGTGTGTAGTTAATGAAAATAGAACTTTGCTGCAGAAGGAAAAGTTCAGGAAAAACCACAAATAACTTTGTGGGAGCCCTATACCACTATCTTTATATGATACAAACTCCAAAAGACTCCAACACTATTTATTTCTATTCTACCTGCTTATCTGTAAGATGTCCTCTGGAAGTAAAAAATTTATGAAAGTCTTTTTGTTGCTGTTGTTTTATTGAGACAGTATCTCCTTGGAGCTTCAGTTGGCCTGGAACTCTCTACATAGACCAGGCTGGTCTCCATCTCACAGAAATTCACCTGCCTCTGCCTCACAAGTACTGAGATTAAAGGTGAGTGCCACCATGCCTTGCCTCGAATGACAATCTTAATAGTCTTTAAGGAAACAGAACAGAAACAAAGGGCAAATCCAAGTTTATGATATTTTTAAATTAAGGAAAACTGTTTCACAATTAAACTACAATTAAGGAATGCATTTCTTTTGTGTAGGACTCAAATTTAATAGGGGATAATTACAGAAATTTTATGTCAATAGGTTCATTCCAATACTGGTATGAAAAGAAAGGGTAAGAGGTTATCTTAGACAACTATCCTCCCTGGGCATATTTATCAAACATTTATATTTATTATCTACATTTATAATTAAGAACCTAACACAACATCACAGGATTCATTTTGCAATTTAAAATGTGAAAATTACTAATAACCACTGGTGACCTGTTACATAAAAACTATAGGACTATCACTCTGTATTAGGCTTAAACAAAGACAGCAATGTCTAGAGAAAACAAGTTCCACCTGAGTATTCCAAACCAGCGAAAGTTTCATCATGCTCACCTGATAAAGCAGACCAGAGACCATGTTACCTGAGCCCCATTGCTGACTCGCTCTCTCTCTCTGAGCCCCATTCTCTCTCTCTCTCTCTCTCTCTCTCTCTCTCTCTCTCTCTCTAATTGGGATCAAATCAAAACACAATCCAAAGTTTGAACTCAGATCTCTTTTACACAAATTGTTCTCCTTGAAAGTATAAATCAAACAAAGTAAGGCAGTTGGTAAATATATGTAGACAAGCAAATTTACATAAATATTCTGTTAAGCAGTGGAAATAACAAGCTGTCCCTTAGTATTAGTCATTTATAAAACAAAACAAAAACACATTTAAAACAAAGATCTGAGAGTTACAGAGCTAGATTAGAGGTGGCTGAGATTTAAACTTAGGCATTATTAATTCAGAGCTTGCATGCTTACCAATTGATTATACTGCCTCCACAAACTGTATACAGTACCTACCAGTTACATGTGGCATTTAGTAGTAAAAGATAAAATCTTTTCAAAACCAACTGTATGGACAGAAGTAACAGCATTCTCAGAATGTTTTTCTAAGGTAGCAAGCTTTAGAGAAAAGTGAGAGCTAAATTATTTTAACATTTTAATTAATCTATCAATTAATGAACCACATGATCTTCTTAAGAGATGCAGAAAAAGTCTTTGATAAAAACAAACTTAACCACAGAAATGAAAGAACTCTACAATGAAAACTTTTAAGACGCTGAAAAAAGAAATTGAGAAAGGCACCAGAAGACGATCTCCCATGCTCATGGATTGGAGGAATTCATCTTGTGAAAATGGCCATCTTACCAAAAGCAATCTGCAGGTTCAATGTAACCCCAATAAAAATTCCAATGCCATTCTTAAAAGATACAGAAATGACAATCCCAAAACTTATATGGCGGCCCAAAGGAAAGGCAATCCTAAACAAAAAGAATTCTGTGGGAGAGAGCACCATACTCAATTTCAAATTATACTACACAGTCTTGACAAAAACAGAATGGGGCTGGCATAAAAGCAAACACATAGATTACTGGAATAGAACTGAAGACTGAAGATTAAGTCCACACAACTACAGTTACCTAATTTCTGACAAAGATCCCAAAACAATACAAACTGGAAAAAAAAAAACGGCATCTTTAACAAATGATGCTGGGAAACCTGCATATCAACATGCAGAATAATGAAATTGGATCCTTATCTCTCTGCCCAAAATTCAACTCCAAATGGATCAAGGGCCTCAATGTAAGACAAGATATCCTGCAACTACTAGACATAAATAGGGTGTATGCTTCAACTTATAGGCAAAGGAAAGAAGTAAGAATAACAATTGACAAATGGGATCTCTTGAAATTAAAAGGCTGTACAGCAAAGGAAAGTGTGAGCAACAGACAACACACAGAAGAGGAGAAAAATCTTTGCCAGCTATTCTACAACAGAGGGGTAGTGTCAAGAATACACAGAGATTTAGAAAAAATATTAAGAAAATAAAAAACTCAACTAAAATATGGTCTATGAAATGGAACAGAAAATTCTCAAAAGAAGAAACACAAATGGATAGGAAAGACATAAAAGTGTTCAAGAGCCTTAGCTATCAGGGAAATACCGATTAAAACTACTTAAAGATTCCATCCCACCCTAGTCAAAATGGCCACAGGCATGCAAATGACAACAAATGCTGGTGTGGATGTGCCAAAGGGGACAAGTAAATTCCAATTGTGCTGATCAGCTCCAGTTGTCAACTTGACACATCTGGGAAGAGGGAACATGAACAGGAGAATTTCCTCTATTAAATTGGCCTGTGAATACGTCTGTAGGGCATTTTCTTGAATGCTGAGTGATATGGGAGGTCCCAGCCCACTGTGGGTGGTGCCATTCCTGTGCATGTGGGACTGGGCTGTAGAAGACTAGCTGAGCAAGCAGGTAAAGCAGGGTTCCTCCATGATCTCTGCTTCAGTTCCTGCCTTAGTGGTGGATTGTAAGCTGTAAACCCTTTCCTTCTTCAAGTTGCTTTTGGTCAGTGTTTTATCACAGCAATAGAAAGTAACTAGAACACCTATATACTGTTGATGGGATTATAAACTAGGACAGCCATTTTGGCAACCAGTCTGGAGGTTTCTTAGAAAATTAGAAATAGAATGCCATTATGAACACCACTCCTAGGAATATATTCAATGAACTTTATATCCTACTACAGAGACACTGGCAGATCCATGTTCATTTTTGCTCTATTCACAGACAGCTGTTAAGACTCCAACTGTCCACTCCCACTGCCCTCCCATGCCTAACTCTTCTGTGACTCTAAAACTAGAATTTTGTCTTTGAAGTAAATGACATTGGGGCATACCAGAGTTTAGATTAAGTCACTTATACTGAAAAACAGAATGATTAAGTGACATTCAAAAACACTGCAGATATTCAACTTCAACGAAAGGTACATCCTGAAAAAAATCCATAGTAATTTGAAAATATTCTAACTCAAAAACACCATTACCCCAACCTACTGAACATCACAGTGAAACAACACTGCACTGCAGACTGCTCATTACTTGTCCTTGATGTACTGTATTCACCTTGGAAACACAGTTTTGTAAACAGCAGGCAGGAGATTAAAGAGTAGCTAAAACAAAACACACCAAAAGAGAGATGAACAGGCAGTGGCACTATGGCCTATCTAGAACAAAATGAGCTTCAAATTACCGAATTATCCTTCAGTGAAACTAACCAAGCCCCACTTACATACAGAGCTTTCCAATTTTGCCCCTCAAGTTAAGTGACTGGCTCTTAAATATGAAAGGAATTCTTAGGTACTAAGGCAGGGATTAAAAATTTTCTATAAAAGAGAAACAGAATTGGGGCTTGGGGGTGGGGGTGTTCAGAGACCTCACACACAATAGAAGAAATTCTACAAACCTGAAATTTGTATCTCCTAACTCTCATCACAGAAGCTTCTTATTGCAGTAGATGGCAACTAACAGAGACCCACAACTGGTCAAAGTGCTATGAATAAGAGATTCAGGAGTGCTCAGCCCTAAATGAAATGAGGGGGTAGTAAAACTGTAAGAGCCAGATGTGGTGGACGACCATAACAAAACAGTACTTTCTGGACACAACAGAGCAAGTACAGATGAACTCAGAGTGATTTTAAAAGCAAGCACAAGAACTGCACAAGCTTAGGCCAGTCAAAATCTCAGCAGAGGCAGAAGGTGGGCATGAAACTGCATCCCTAGCTGAGGAGCTATTGGCAACTCATAGCTGTGGGATAGGGTAAGTCAGTTTTAAGGGTGTGAGGTACTCTGTAGGTTGACCAGGCTCCAGGGGATGGACACACAACCAAGAATATTTGGCGAACAGAAATTGGACTTGATGGGTTTAAAAAACCAGAAAAGGGGGACATTAAGTTTGGGGGTAGGGTGAGGAATGGATCTGGGAGATGGGGAAGGGGGATTAGATATGATCAAAGTACACTGTATAAAATTCTCAATTAATAAAAACTTTACTCTTTTTAAAAAGATCCTGCAAGAAGCCTAAGCCAAGGAAGTAAACAAGATCACAACCAAGGCACATGACCACTAACACACAGAAGAAAGAAAATGAAGAATTATCAGTTTCCTGAGACAGAAAATAAAGCCGAAAGAGGCCATATACACAACACATTGAGAATGCTATTCTTAATAGTATCTTTGCAAGTTGAAGACAGTGGAATTGTCATAAACACTACAAAGTAGGAAAAACCTAGAACTGTATATCCAAAAAATGACAGTAAAAAATTAAGACACCTTCAAAACTAGAAAGTCCCAAACCAGTTATCTTCCATGCTTTGGCTGAAAGTTTCATCAAACCATTTGAATAATCAAAAACAAAAAAAAAAGAAGAAAAAAACAATGAATTTTGAAAATGGGAAATTAAAAGATTACGAGAAAGGCAGAGGGAATTCTTACAATGACAATAAAACTAAGTCCCAAGACCACAGTTATGCAGCTGGCCTGAAAGGCAACAATTCCATCAAAGCTTGAAGAAAAAAAAAAAAAAGAATGTAATACAAGCTGTAAGTGACTTGGCAGAACACTATCAAAAAGCTAATGGAATTACTAAGATGCACAAAGAATAAGTAAAGAAAATTTTACAAAAGCAGTAATTTAGGAAGAGTTTGCAAATAAAACCACAGTGCCTTTTAATGCTAACACACGAGTATTTCGGCAGACAT